AGCAGAAGAAAATTCTCCTATGCCACGTCTATTCCCATTAGATTATCACAGGTTACATTTATATATTGTGAACTTTTTAACAAAAATTTTTAATTATGCAATTGTTTTAAAAGTCATTTAGGAAACAAACATTATAAAGAAAAATATACTGATTACACTGCAGTGCTCTTTTTAACATTTTCATATGGAAGGCATGTGAAAAACAGCTCTTCTAATTTTTATCTGATAAGGCATTTATCCTTTATACTTTGTCAGATACAGAATTCCTTGTTAATAATTCGTTTCAGCACTTTAAAATGTCTCTTGCCTCCACCACCTCTAATAAGCAACTGGCTATTAATCTTATTAAAGACCCCTTGTACATGTGGAATGACTTTAATCTTTGTACACTTTGATTTAAATGTTGTTCTCAGTGAACCGGATTCATACTCCTAAAATTTTGCTGAACTTCTTAGACCTTAAATTCATGTCTTCCTTAAAATACGGAGTTTTCAAACGTCATTTACTCTAGTATTTTTTCTGTTTTTCCTCCAGAACTCTTGTATTTGTTTGGTCATGTCTAATGAATGGGTCCTTTAGTCACTACTCATTTCACTTCCTTTCTCCTTCTCAAACTTCATCATTTCAACCAATGTAGCTTTAACTTTGTTTCTTTATCCTTTCCGTAGTTCAGTGTCTTTGAATTGTGCTATTACTGATAATTCAATGTTATTATGATTAATAATATGATTTTGCTACTCTCATTTAAATCCTTTAGTACATTACTTAAAAACTGGAATTGGGCAAATGTATTTTTCACCAGAATTTCCATTTGAGTATTCAGCCCCTTTCAAGAAGTTCAATGTTCGTAAGTCTTCAGGGACAGCTTCTGTGGATTCCTTCGTGTGAGTGAGCTTTCTTGACTCTATGTCATATCACTTTTTATTTTTATAAACTTGATATTTTAAATAGTATAGTGTGGCAACTCTGGAAATTTGCTTCCTCAGCTTTTGTTGCTGGTTGTCTTGGATTATACTTGTTTGCTTAGTGACTTTTAAAAAGTATTCTTGTAAAAAATGTATTTGTGTGTGTGTGTGTAGTTTATGAAGTTTCTGCTTCACTACCTTAGTACTCAGTTAGTAGTCTGACAGCTTTTTTTTCTGTTTTAAACAAATTCCTGGGAACAATAAGGAAAAATATGAAACACCCTTTCCACCTTTGCAGGTAGAACATTCCTTGTACAAATATCCAGCTGTTTGCAACAGTGAATTTGGCTTCACATACTGACCTGACTGGACTAGTTGTTCAGATCTGTAAGAGGTAAGACTGTGGCAGCTTCTCAGCATCTTTCTAAGCATGCACTCTGCTCTGGGTGTGGACATGCCCATTCTGCAGTCTGCAGTATGAAGCACAGCTTTTTAAGCCTTACTCTCCAAATTATGCCACTCTGCAGCTGCTTCTCCTAGGCTTCTACCTGTGTGCATGTGTGTGTGCATGCATGTGTGTGTGTGTTGTCTCCCCAATGCCAATCATTTATCCCAGGTAGCAGGAGTTTGTTCATTTACCTTCCAAGGCTTTCAACAACCCTTTCTATGGAGCCATGACTCCTTCAGGAATAAGAAAAACACAGAAATGTAGGCTGCCATCCTCAAAAATTACTGCTAACGGGGAGGAGCCTGGAAAGAGGGTAAGATAAACTCCATTAAGTAATCCTATTGGGTTGTAGGTACCTCCAAGATTTAAGCATTTGCTTGACTGCTATAAATTTCTATTTTCCAGACTTCCAATAACACTGATCATGACAATTTTTGCCTGTTTTTTTCTAGTGCTTCTATGGCAGAGTGCATTTTTGTCATTTTTCCTGACATATGTATAAAATTTTTATGGGAAATAAATACATCAACATTTGAGCAATCATGACATGATTTTTCTAGTCAGACTGTGAATTGATTTGTTAAAATGCTGAATATTTATACTTGCAACACGTATATAAACCAAAGAAATTATAACAGACTTCAAAGATAATGGAATTCTGGAGCTAATGGATGCATCCTTATACTCTTTAAGAATGACTAGCTAAAATACAGTTTTCCCACTATTAGAAAATTATTATTAGGTACATTATTGGTGTGGCACAGAATAGCTTCTTGTTGGAATATGAAAAATACTTTTAGTATTTTAAACTTGAGTTATATAGGCTTTGAAAGGTTTTTGTCTTCAAGGTTCCATTCTCATATTTTGTACATAGATGCTCTAGCTAATGTGTTTGTCCCAACTACCATCACTTCTTAAAACACAATGTTTAGTATCACTGATCTCAAAACAGTGCTATGCCTTGGTGTGTTCACAGGAACTACCCCCATTATGTACTCATAGGGATATCCTCATAGCCAAACATGGAATACTTGTCCAGTGCTATGGCTACAGCAAGATCTAACTTCCCTAAGTCCTATGCTTACTGAATTGTACGTTAGTAGAAACATTGCTTTATGGATGAGAAAATTACATTAGGCACACATCACTGATCAGTATTTCTCACTCATGCAAATACTCAGTGCAAGACTGGGTGCTGAAGAAAATGTATAACAAAGTATGTCAGATGTTTTTATGAAAAGAAGCTATTTCTGGGCTGGGGAGATAGCTCAGTAAAATAAGCATTTGCTTGGCAAGTACAAGGTACTGAGTTCAATCCCCAGAACAGAAAAAAAAAAAAAAAAAAGATATTTCTAATGTGATATGATACAGGGGTTTTTCAATGTAAACAGAAAAGAATTTAAAATTCTGAGGATTGTTAAACACAATTAAATTTATCAATTTTTCAACACAGTGAATCAGGTTGCACAGTGACATTGCAGAGTGTAGCACACCAGACACCATCTACTATGTATGTGCTTATGTACAGGCTTCGTCTGCAAGCTGGTGGGAGACCAGATTGGAAGGCTAAGGCACAGAAAGGAAAGGCAACACTCAGGGTGATGGCACGTGGCAGCTTCTAGGAAAGTCAGTACAGCTGAGCAAAGTGGTTTGCCTGAGCATGTATTAATAGATACTGGAGGACAGATGGATATTCTGTTACTTTAATTGCTTGTACAGTGTGTGGGTGAATAAAAGGTAGCTGAGCCAGGGGCTCAGGGCTGCTGTGCCCACACTAGGCAAGAGCACCCTGATACCTGCATATCACACTAGCTGTGTCATGCCTCTTTTTCATCCTCATTCATTCCTAGGTCAGTTGAGTAATGTAGCAGGACCGTGTGCCTGGGTGGGGGACGCTCGGGCGAGGGGGCTGGCTCCTCAAGGGTGGCGCCTGGGGCAAGGACCTGAGTCCAGCGGCACTGGGGGAAGGCTGGCAGCCTCTACACAAGACATTATCTGAACTACCCTTTGGGATTTGCTACAGCTCTTCCCAGCAGTGATTTATGTTGAGACAGTTCACTTCCCACTAGCCACTTTTGTTACTACAACTGTTTGTAGAGAACTTATAGTTTATAAAACTATGAAATTTTTAAAAGTATATTGCTATCATTGGAATTACTTTTCATGTTCAGAGAAAACTATAAAATGTAGGCTGGGAAATTTTTACTAATGTAGGATAAGGAGCTACTTACTATCCTGGTCATAAAATCTGAGAATCACCTGACTTTGATCATGATTAAATACTGTTAATCTTTGTGGAGTATGTTTTGCCAACGTGTGTCAATGTACTTTGCCAACCAGTCACTCAACCGCTTATTACACTGAAAGGTATTTTTGAAATTTAAGAAAACAAAACAAAATATGTGTCTTAATAACATATACTTTCAAACCTGAGTCGTACTTCCTAGAGTTCTAACTAAACTTTAGGAACAATAAAAGATAAATGGACTAAGACTTCTCACTGGTTTAGGAAGTACAAACGAAGTGCATCAAACACAGAATTTTACATGCCAACTGGTTTTACATAAATCCATTTCAATCCGAACTTCCTAATCTGAATAGGTACTAGGCAAATTAGTGTATTTAATAATTACTTTGGAAATACATGTTAAGGTTAATACAGTTTTGAGTTACTAGGTAATTTTCACTGAATAGTATTATGTTTTAAAATGATCGCCTTCAGGGGGGCCTGCATCTTAGCTCAGCTGTTTAAGTGCCTGCACATGCAAAGGCAGTCAGGAGCAGGATACTGTGGTTCGATCCCCAGCTCCACCTGCCTTACCAGACCTGCCCTTCAGGCAGCTGGAGCCACCAAAACAAACAAACAAACAAACAAAAAAATCAAACAGAAAAACCTTTTAAAAAAGGGAGGGGCCTGGGAGATGGCTCAGTAGAATAAGCGCTTCCTTGGCAAGCGCAAGGGCCCTAGTTAAATCTCTGTTTCCACCAAAAAAAAAATCGCTTTCACCCTGCTAGCATATACACTGCCTTCAGATACAGCCTCACAAACATGCCCCAAAAGGCCTTTATATTTTCTATTCTTCACTGAAATTCATAGGCACAAAACAAGTGATCTCAGTGCCTATCCACCTGGCTCCCATTCGAGCCTATGCAGTTGAGACAGCCAATGCACGGAATGTTCATTTATCTATTATTCAGATCATAATGAAATTAGATAAGTCGAAAAAAAAAAAAAGGAAAAATTACACTGAATGAAGAATTATTTTTCCTAAATCAATCTTTGAATTTTACTCAGAATATATGTTTTAAAGTTTGAAAGCCTGAGTTCTACTTTTAGTTTTGGCATTCAACTTCTACTACCAGGAAAAATTTTAGATTTCTTTTTTATTTACAAAGTTGTTCTGAATGACACCATTATGTATGTAAAGTGCATTTTATAAACCAGAATATAAACATAATTGTTATACTCCTATAGCTATATGAATATATTCCTCATATTTCTATTTCAAGAATATATTCAAATATGTATCTTGAATATGATTCAAGAATATATTCCTATTTCAGGAAAGCTTCACTGAATCACTTACTCATTTCATAAAACTAACCTTTTACGTGGATGCAGGGAAAGAGCTTTTAATGGCCCAGTGTTTCCAGAAATAAAGGAAAATAGCCACAGCGTGTTAGGTTTGCTGTTCGGAGTCTACAGACTGAGATGACACCTCCAATCATGACAGTCCTGACCCACAGCTGTCGTGTGCGGCTTCCACTGTCTAACGCTGTGAAGGCATGTTGGGTAAGTGCGCATCTGCCTCACACTGGACCCAGGAAGACTTTTTCTTTTTCTAGGTGAGGTACCCACATCACAGGCATCATTCATCCAGCAATTTGTCCTACACAACTTGATCTAGTTAGGATCAATAAGAACAAAACGCTATTTGTAACAGTACATGTCCTTTATAACTGAACTGCAGTAAGTATAATTTCCCATACATGACATATTTTCATGCATACGCCTTACCCCTGTACAATACTAATTATTCTTTAACATACATTCCATAGGTTTCCTTTACTAACATTGTGGTCTCCTTTACTAATGAGTGAACAATTCTAAACATGAATTCACAGTTACATTATCATTTATTCCAATCCTATGGCATACACTGAATATAGTATGCTTGAAAAAACATTTTGATGTTTCCTTCGCAGATTACTGAATGTTACTATCCATTTCTATAAATTAAACTGACTAAGAAAACCCACAGTTTAAAAAATGTATACAAGAATAAACTAGCTTATCACAAGGAACAAAAAAACCCAAAAAACCCAAAAAGAACCAAGAATTCAAAATGGTATGTCAGGAACAGTATCTTCATGGTAAATATTCACTTTATGCAAATCCCACTTGGCTTCATTTAATTAAAAAGCTGAAAAAGAAAGAAAATTATTATGTACTGAACATAAGGAAAAACACAATATGCAAGTACAAGTAACAAAAAAATTATATTAATTCATTTAAGTTTTAATTTTTTACTAGGGCAATATTTTGAAACTTGTTCCTATAATGAGGTTAGGTTTATGATAAGAAAAAGGTTAGAGGTGAAGATGTGATAACTTGAATTACAGTGCTGCTATACACAACTCTAGCACTGCGGATTACAGCCATAATTAAATCAGCACTTACAATGGTAATGTTGAAGAAATAAGGTGAACTGAAAAAAAAATTTGAATTTGAATGTCATACAGTTCAGTGGCACAGTGTTCATCTGCCAAGTTTAAGGTCTTGAGTCTGATTCCCAGGAACCAAAAAGGAAATTATTTTCTCATTGAATTTATAAAACTTAAAACTGCTTACATAGAAGTTATATAATCACTTGGTCTTTTGTTGCTGCAGTTTACAATTTCCTTATTTTGAATAGTCAAAATGCATCTATATGTATAAATAAAATTGGTAATAAATTCTGATGAAACATGAATATACAAACAGAAGCTTTACATATAAAACTAAAAGAAAAAGGTAATTATTATTTCTGAACTTCCCTGAGCAAAGATTTAATTGAGGAGTAGCAATCTATTTAACTCTAAGTTGGAAATCAACTTAAACATTAAGCCTGTTTGACATGTGTATCTTCCTGCAACATCTGACATGTCTCTTCTGAGTCTTGATCCTGTAAGACAACTTTGCAAAGCAGAGACACTAACTTTTAACATTAAAGGAAAAATGAAATTGTTTAGTTCTGTTATTTGAATATTATAGGTGTGTTAACTCAGCAAAATATTCTAAAAGAGTCTGTACAGCAATTAACCACTAGGAAGAATGTATGCAATGTGTTAATTATTGAAACTGTCCTACCAATTTGGTTTGAAACTGTCTCATTGCTATTTGTTTCTCAATAAAATTATGGAAAAAGAAACAAATGGTTCAGAATTTTAACATGAGAATAGAAAATTAACAATGGTCATGGTATTAGATATTGCTATTGTCAAATTTGTTGCTCAGATTACTAGATATAGGTATGCAAGATTGGTCAAATAATTAAACATTAACTCTTCCTTTCAAAAAAAAAAAAAAGGAAAACTGAAATTAATGGTTACTCAGCTGAAAAACCATATTGTTAGATAAGTGCTCAAACTACTAAGTTAAATATTTGAATGTTTAAATTATAATATTCTAGGCAAATATTGTTTTGTCTTTCTGAACCTCGGTTTCCTCATTATTGAAAAGAACACCTGCTGTGGATAATTTCCGAAGTTGTTTACAGTGCTACCACTCTATGAATGATACTATATTCTAAATGTAAACATATTTAAAGAATATTGTATAAAATATATATACATTAGCAATACGTGAAGTAAAATATAGAAAATGATACATAATTATAGTATATTAGTTATACAATTACAAGTTATAAACTAAAAGTTAGGTAATACAAACAGAATAATTATCTATATACCTATTTTTATGGAATTGTTAAAAGACAGCAATTATCAGGATACAGTCAGATACTGTTTTAGTTTTTCCAGAAAAATAATGACTGAAGTACTAAAAGGGAAATCATCTCTACAAAGCAGCGAGAACCCTTGTTAGAGCAGTACCATCACTTTTAACCCATCCTCATGAACCTTAGCAACACTGATGGTAAAACAGAGAGACATTTACTTGCAAGGGAACTTGTCAATATCTTCTACGCTTAATTATAAGCTTACCCTGAAGTCAAAGCTAACTGAAGAATAAAGGTTAATAAAAAACAAATCTCAATCATAAATGGATTTTAAACTGTAATTAGAGTGGGAGAAATCAGAACCTAAAACTGAGAAATCGTTTTTGTTTTCCAAGGAATGTACTAAGATATACAGCAGTGACATTTTAATTACTGCTTAAAATACACTTCTATAGAGGCAAAGTAGTCATATGATCTCTTATGATAATTTTATAATTTCCTAACATTTGAGAGGTAGAGAAGTTAGTTAAAAGTTGTACATTTAGGTGTTGCTATCTTTACAGAGTAAAGGGATCTCTGTAACTACATTCCTAATATGAAAATAGATTAAGAATTCTTAGTATGCTATCTCTTTACTCTAGAGGTTTTTCTAAACAAATATTAAAACTACTTATAACTATCATTTGTTTATATCTCAAATATTTTCAGTATCAAACTGAACACATTTTATTAATTGTTCTGCAATAATGGATAAAACTAATTTAGTACTTACTAATCTTTCATATTAGGTCCTTTTTTTCTTCCTTTCTTTTTTTTTTTTTTCTTTGGTACTGGGGTTCAAACTCAGGATCTTGCGCTTGCCAGGCAGGCGCTTATGCCACTGAGCTATCTCCCCACTCTAGGCTCCCTTTCATAAAAATAAGTTATAAAACTTGTTTACAATGATACATTCAAGATAATGAAAGACTTAGAGCACAAAAAAAATGTCAAAAATATTTTGTTAAACTGTTTCTTAGAAAAATATGAACTTTAATTCACTAGGCAATCATTCAGGTTTCATGTATTTTTATTATACAGTTTATATTATATAATTTATTTTTATTATATTAAACATCTATCCAATACATGTTTCAGTATGAATGTCCTGTATTTATGTTCTCACTCACAGGATTTGTCTCTCATTTTTGTCCACCTGGGTCTAACATATCTTTCTCTTCTCACATTTACCTGTCTAATAATTTTGATGGGAAACCTAAAAGTGTAACAGTTCTTATAGATTTATGCCTCCTACTGTGCTTGATGTTGGCTCAAAATAATGGTTATCAGAGAAATGAATGTTATTGTAGTTAAAAAAAAAAAGCTATCGAGCACACTAAAAACCAGTAAGAGTCCTCTTCTTTGTGCTTCTCAGCTTGCTTCCTGGTGGAGCACGAGGTGCCTTAGGCACGACTACTGCCTTCTGCCTGACGTCATCTATGCAGCCAGTCGTGGCCTGCCTAAGAACGACCCCTACACTGTGGCCAGCTCACTTAGACGTGCATCTCTGTGTGCTCAGCCTGACCCAGGGCAGTGGCAGGGGCCAATGGGCACAGGCTGCGTACTGCACGCACAGAGAGCTAAGGCAGGGCAGGGCCAGCAGACACCCTGAACTGTCCTGATCCACTGTCCCCGAGTCCAAGGCACACTCCTGTATATAGTGAACAATAACAAGACTTTCTCATACCAGTTTTCTCTTTAAGACAAACTGTCTATCTCATATCCAGAATCTCAGGAAAAATGTTAGCCTTGTCTTGCTGAGTGATGCTTTAAAAGTTCATTAATAAGTTTTTTTAAAATTCATGCAAGTTTTTGTAGAAAAATTTCTCAAACTCAGCCCCCCCAAGTTAGTTTCAATCAGCATTCAATGAAGAATATTCTTTCACAATCAAGAAAGAACTACTGAACACTGTGCTCAAGCACTGTCCACAGAGGGCTGTTGCACGAAGTGGAATGATTCAGTCATGGTTTCTTTTATCTGAAGGACAGAGATATCTGGGGAAATTAAGTATAATAGAGTGATGCATGAAAAATCCACTTATAAAGTATGAGTCCTGTCATCCTTCCCTAAGCTCACACATTAAACCTCTGGCCTTTGATAATCTTGGTGTTGGGATCACAAATATATTTTATTTCATTTATCTGTATCTTGCAGAAGGAATGTATATTAAGGGCCGGCCTGATAGCTCAGCAGACTAAAGTGCTTGCTCAGGCAGAGTGCAGCAGCTGGGGTCCGATCCCCAGCATGCTGCTGACCCTGGCCCAGAGGTGTGCTGAGATGGCAACTGAGACTGGGCATGGTGGCAAACACCTGTAATCCCAGCACATGGAAAGCTGAAAACAGGAGAATTACTATGAGTTCAATCTGTGTAGTGAGACTTTATAGACACTGTAGACCCTGTCCTAAAAACAGGAAAAAAAAAAAGAAAGAAAATAAGGAATGTATATTAACCTTTCCTTCTTTCTCATTAACTCTCAGTGGATTTTGATGAAGCAGCACTGTAGAAGGCACACCCCTTACGATGGTAATTCTGGCATTCCGAAACAAGTGCTGGATTAGGAAGGAGAATGACCAGCTATTTAGATATACATTAGGAGGCTAGCTGATGGTTTGAAAATATGCCGAGTATATAAAGTGAGATGGCAGCAGTAGAAACAGAAAAGTAATAGGGACCAAATTAAATGACATAATCAAGATCAAGATATGAAGAGAAGGATGTGGGATGAGTGCCAAACGATTCCAAAGTTTCTACTGGTGACGACCGTGAGGATGCTTCTGTCTTAAGAGAAAATGGAAAGAAGAGAAAGAAACAGTTCTGGAGGCAGAGATGATGTTTGGACAGACTGAAGTGGTAAATGTAGCATTCGTATCTGGTTCTGGATCTCAAGAAAAAGATCAGGATTCAAAAAGTATATCTGAGATAGAAATAATATACAAAAAAGATGTAAGTATCATGTTATAAAATTCAGGATATAAAGTTTCATCTATAATGCTAGAAGGGGCCGGCCTGACAGCTCAGCAGCCTAAAGTGCCTGCTAAGGCAGAGCGCAGTGGCCAGGATTCAATCCCTGGCATGCCACCGGCCCTGCCCCTGGGGAGCTCTGAGACAAGAGAGTGAGACCCGGCATGGTGGCACGCGCCTATAATCCCCGCGCGTGGAAGGCTGAAAACAGGAGAATCACTACAAGTCTGATCTACATAGTGAGACCCTGAAGACCTTGTCCTAAATACAGAAAATAAAATAAAATAAAAAATGAAATGCTTGAAGGATCAGGTTAGGTGAATTCTGGATTCGGTCACTGGGTGACTATTAGACTATATCAATGCTTGTTCATTCTTTTTAGATATATAAAAAATAATAGTTGGTGCTCTTTATCTTGTCAATTACTTGACTACTGCACCTGTTTCTGATGTTGCTTTTTAAAAAATAATATACATGGTGCTCTCAAAGGAATACATCTTTTTCCAGTTGTGAGTAGGGTAAGTACTTCATTGAGATCTTCAGATGAAAAGAATTTTTTGTGCACTATTCTTACTTCACCTTCTCAAAATGGGGAAGAAATTAAGGCAATCTTATGGTTATATAATGTCACTCTGTCTCACAGAAATCACTTATGTGGCTAAAAGGCAGCTGCTCAGACTTTATTCTGGTATCCAAAAAGGGAGGGGGCAACAGATGGGAAGAAAGGGCTTGCTAACTCTGCAGAGCCAGGTGTTGGCTGAATTTTCACTCCTGTTTCATTGCCCTTGTAGTTAGGAGGAGTCCCTGATTCATTCTTTAGATTGTGATCATTGTCATTATTTTTAGCCTTCATACTCACAAGTGTTAAGCAGGAATGCTAGGAACAAGTACATTATGGTTGCTAGTCAGTTATCTTTAGTCAGAAGTCCTGACGCTATTTCTTTCATGAAAGAAGATTACTGAAGCAAGAAAAGTTTTTAAGTCTGAAATAAATAGTTATTTTTAAAGACCTAAAGAAATTTAAACCTTTATGAAGAATGAAAAAAAGATCTTGAAAAACAGAAAGCTCTGTATCTGTAGCTGCCCAGGGTAGTAACTGTCAAGCCTGGTACTGCTAAGGCCACTTCTCTACACAGCCAGCACAGAAGGGTTCACATGGGGTTAAGGATTTTGATGACAAGACTAGTAATAATTAGAAGTGGTCAGAAACACAGATAGGAGGGCTGGGTGAAAAGAACAAAAAAAGCTGGTACGTGAGGTTATGAAGAACAAAGAAGCATTTGGACCGGAGGCACTTTCCACACCTTCTCTGCTTTGGCTGAATGCTGTAGGGCTCCCGACTGAGTCCGAAAGCTGTGCTTGCACATGGAAAGGACCCTCCGGCAACCTCTGGAGCATATGCTGACTGAGACTTGGAAGGGCATTCCCTGGGCTTGAGGCTTGGGGCGTGCAGAGCAAAAGCGTGAGTTTAGGTTCTGCATTTTTCTATATCAAATTACTGTAGATGTAAAGTCCCTGTAATTTATTTCTGAAATTATCAACTGTTGATTTAAAAAGAAATTCTCAATAGATGAACTGCTCGGAAGACTTGTATTTTACTAATATTAGATAGTTATACTGTTAGCAGAAAAAAGGGTTACACCATATTTTTTCTAGGCAGAAGTATATTCCCATTGATATTGCCTTGTACTTTTCTAAAGTGGAAGAGAGAAGTTAAATATATATGTGTGTGTGTGTGTATATATATATATATATATATATATATATATATATATATATTTGCGGCGCAGGGTTACGTTTGTATTATATTATTACATAAAAACATGCTGCTTGCCAAATGGTCTATCCCAGGGGTTAAAGGCTATTTATTGGTACAGCTCTATGTTGAGGATTTGTCCCAGGTAACAGCTCAAGACTGCAATGGGATTTCACAATTATCTTACATTTCTAAAACAGTTTATCATAACTTTTCTTACTTATGATAAATATTATGGTCTTTATTTGAAAGATGAGGAAAACTGAGGCTCAGAGAAGATTAAAAGACTTGCCTGAAGTTACAGAGTTTTTAAGTGCCATGGTCCAAATCACATCTTCTCACTCAAAGTCCAGATCACTTTCCAATACACCACAATGAAATACAATAATATGGAAAAAATAACCCTTAAGATCCAATTTCAATTTTTACAATATAATTACAAGATTTAGCACTGTATTCTCTACCTAAAAAGGGGATAAACAATGTTGCCTTTTCTAGCAATCATTTCAAATCTTTAGAACTTTATACGCTATTTCCAAAGATGGCGCTCAGCATGAGAAAGTACCAAATTTTGTTAATGACACATATTAAGAGCTGTCACCAGAATATTTATACATTATTTTTCTATTTTTTAAACTTCAAGATTGTGTTACCTTTCCCTACAGATGAAATCTGTACATTAAAAGATGTTCAAGTGAATACAGGATTGCCATACACTGTACATCCTGGGAGTTTCTGCTGTATGTGCTTGCTTACCATCAAACATCCAAAGTACACCTTTCATTTCTAGCTGTTCTTCTTTACTCATCCATACTAAAGGTCATTAATTTTTTACTGCTATTAATAACTTCTTGAAATAACCAAACATATGAATTAGGAGACAATGGAAAACACTTTATATATCCATACTATGCTCTTCTAATATATGTATTTATTTTCAATTTGAATGGCAGCCAGCTCAGAATCAGGTTTCTGGAATAACTGTCTTTCTACAAATTACTTTAGCTATGTAGAACAACCTGAAAAATCTGGGGTTGGCATCATACATACATTATACCCTCTGGATTTGTGTATTTTGGCAAACTAGTACTCTTCACTTTATTGACTATTCAACAGTTCCCTGCATTTATTGATAAGAAGTGTTTCTCAGTATACAGATTCAATTAATAAGTATATGATGAGCACCTACTATGTGCATTGCATTTTGGAGATATAAATGATGTATTTTTAAGGACCCTTATATACAAGTACCTTACAGAATACTGTAAGAAAAACAAATACATGAAACAGAGGTATATGAAGACTTAATGAAAAATATAATGCAATACATTGCTACTGAATAAGTGCAAGCATGGCTGGTATAGATGAAGTTTGGTGAAGTCATTAATTTGTGTTGAGAACCCATTGCATTTAAATTTTGAAGTTTATAGTGGCAGAAACAGGCTTAATAAAGTTTAATACATTGGTAAAAGATAGAAGTACTAGATAACTCCTTATTTAGTCTGTCTCCCTCCACCCAAAAATACGTTAGAGCAGATGAAAAACCTAACTCTAAGTCACATAGTGAGGAGATCAAAGAGTTAAACCCAGATTTATCTAACTGTACAGTCAGAGCTTCAGCTATTGAATATAAAAATTAAAGCCCAAATTGGAACTCAGGACTTACATTTTTAATTACTATTATTTTCTCATTAAAGCATCCCACATTATCTCTATAAGACGTTTAAAGAAGTCTTAGAGACAGCTGGGAACCAACGTGATAGAATTAATACAGAGCATTTCATGTTATTCGTTAGTAAAAACTGCCTTGATTCCCACAGATGTTTTCCTAACAGTCTATGAAGCAACTTCTGAGGCACAGCCTGCCCACGCAAAGCTGCCTGAAGTGCAGACTGCTGCACCCTACTGGCACCTCGCTCTTCCTAGGAACTGGGGAGGAACTGAAGTTAATTTTTATTCAGTATATAAAATGAATTCAATATTATCACTGGAATAAAATTTCTTCTGAACTATGGCTTGGAGGGTAATTAAATCAAATTTAAAAGAATCCTCTTACTTCACTGGTAGTTTCAAGGGACTCTGGAGCCCAATTAACTTCATCAAAGAGTTCAAGGAAAATATGTTCTTTACTCAACTGAATTATGCAAATATAAAACAAAGCTATTTAATGATGTTCAGTGTAAAGGGAAAAAAAAACCTGTTTTGAGAAAAGTAGATTAAGTATACATGAATTTAAAATATTCATGTCAGAATTAATAATAGTAATAAGCATCAAATATTTATTGAATAATGCAATCTACGTACCAATATGTTATGTGATTTACATGCATTCTTTCATGTTAATAGAACAAGGCACATAAAATCATCTCCACTTACAATGAGGAAATGTAGAGGTAGAAAAGTAATTGATTGATACTGTAGAAGAGACAACTCATATACGTGGGAGAGATTAAAGAAAATATGATAAAGATTTTTAAGACTTTTATATTTTAAGTATATAAATATATCAAGACAATGAAAACAGAAACGTTGAAGGTATTTTGAGCTTGTGAAATATATCCTGGGCAAATAAATCCTGAAGGCTTTACAAGACTAAAGATTAAAGCTGAAATAAAAACAGATGACCAGGAAGGATCATTCCATTAAGATATTAATAAGTACAGATTATGCAGAATTCAAAATTCTGAAGAATGAAAAAAATTAGCTTGTGGATAATTATGGACATGATGCTACATATAAAGACAATTATGGTTACAATTGTGTTGCAGATTTGCAAAAAAGCTGTGATTCAAAACACATAAAAAAGATATTGAAGGCTATAAATGATACGATACCCATGAAAGTAATTTGACATTGCAATCTCAAGCCCATAGCCACATGTGATTTTTTTTAAACAGTAGTACATAATGTTATTGTTAGGTTCAGTGATTGTCCTTACTGAGGGATACTTCGAGTTATATCTCAAATATATAATTATCTAAAGTATGTAGAGGTGAAAAGGTTTCCCTTGTACCTTGCTCACCTCCTGTTAAATAACATTTAATATGCATAGCTGGTAAGGTCATGAACATAAAGGAAGTTCAATGTACTTCTGTTATAAATAGTTGGGTCTCCAGGGTTTATGATTCAATATTTCAGGGCCCATGCTCTGGAAGTGGACATTTACTAATCTCCCTTCACATGTACTTAACAGATGAAGGGACAAGAGACACAGTATTTATATACAATGCAGTGTCACTCTACTATAAATGCAGTACCACTCTACACTTGAGTCATCTGTAGAAAACAGAAGCACCTTGAGACCATAATGTTGTAAAGTAAAACAAATCAGACATAGAAGCTTAATATTGCCTGGCTTTTCTCACATAAGAAACCCAAAATATAAACAAAGACCAAAACACAAGACATACAATGGGAACTAAGGAGATAGATATTCTCCAATGGGAAGGGTCCAGAAGAAATGGAGGAAAGGAGAGGAGGAAGAGGGAGGGAAAGGAGATGAAGAAAGCATTAAGCTGTGTTGTGTTCGTGCACAAACTCCACACAAGTAATGCAAACATGTGTACTGCACACACGTACTAAAAGGAAAATGAACTGAAAAAAAAATCACACACACACACACACACACACACACACACACACACACACACACTCTCTTCAAAAAGACAAAACAAGAAACAAAAAAACCAAGTGCACCAGGATATGGGTTCTAGAAGGTGTGGAGTTTCTTCTTTCTAGAATAGTAGTTGCTTATTATTTCACTCACTTATTTTATGCAAACTGACTCTACCTAATATGTAGGTTTGCTTTTATTTTTGAATAAAGTAATGCTGGTTTCACAAAACTTCTGGGAATACAAGTGTTTCTTAACTATGTGGTGCTGTATTTATAGTCAACTAATCTATATGGAATAATTAAAAGAAAAAAGGTCTTTCTTTTCTATATCAACATCTACCTTTCAAATAGTCCCAGAATTTTTTCTTTTTGCCCTTTCTGCTATTGCTTTTGCTACCACCTTTGCTCTTTCTCCAGTTAACTCACTGTTCTCATATGTGTATTTTCACCTGTACTGTCAGGTTTTAGAATTCAGTTCATATTTTGTCCAAATCTCTGATGTACACCCTCTGAAGTCCTTTTAACAACACTTACTTTTGAAGTCTATTATCTATTAGCATAATCATTTAGAGAACTGATAAAATTTCTGCGGGAAGGAAGAAAATGGGGCCGGCCAGATAGCTCAGGGGATTAAAGCGCCTGCTTAGGCAAACACAAGGGCTGGGGTTCAATCCCTGGTGCACTGTGCCCCCTAAGCTCCCAGCATGCTGAGATAGTGATGGAGACTGGGTGCAATGGCACACTCCTGTAATCCCAGTGCTTGGAAGGCTGAAAACAGGAGGATCACTACAAGTCCGACCTGTGTAGTGAGACTCTGTAGACACACTAAATATATATAAAAAAAAAAAAAGAAAAATGAAGGAATAGAATGAAAATAAGACCAAAAGCATTATATTTACTTATTTATGCAATATTAGCAGGCATATGAAAAGGAGGCAGGCTTGTAACTGTAAAACTGAAGGTTTTCTTTGTTCAGAATGTCCTACAGGGACAGCCAGATAGCTCAGTGGACTAAAGCACCTGCTTCAGCAGAGCACAGCAGCTGGGGATCGATTCCCAGCATGCTGTGACGGCCATGCCCCTGGGGTAAGCTGAGACAGTGATTAAGACTGGGTTTGGTGGTGAAGTACCTGTAATCCCAGGGCTTGGTAGGCTGAAAACAGGAGAATCATTACGAGTCAGATCTGTGCAGTGAGACCCTGTCCTGAAACTTCACATACACAAAAAAGAATGCTCCCCTACACTACAATGAGAGGAACATATATCTTATGTAAGCTTGAAAAACTAAAAGTTTTTTCTTTTTTAAAATGTATTTGGCAAATAAAAAAATAAAAATAAATGTATTTGGCACAGGGTCTCACTATGTAGCTCAGACTCATAGTAATCCTCCTGTTTTCAGCCTCTCCAGCGCTGGGATAACAGGTGCGTACCACCATGCCCAGCCTCAGTAGCCCGCGTGGCTTGTGGTCCCAGGAATTGAACACTGGTTTCTGTGCTTGCCTAAGCAGAAAAAACAGAAAGAATTTGAGTCTCAAAACACAAGAGGGCTATCTTTGCATACCGAAAAGATTTATAGACACCCAAGGAACAACTATGTGTGTGTATGTATGTGTGTGATATATATATCAATTATATAATTCCTCTAACTTAATTGTCACTTCCCAAATAATTTCCCTCCAGCTGTGTTGAGAATTTACATGTGGATGTATTTTTCTGCATTCTCATATATGTGTATGTATGTG